CACCCAAGAAGTGTGCCCTCATAAGACACCAGAAGAGATAGCACCTTGATTTGACTATAACCAGCTCCAGAATGGTAAGGGGAAAATCTCCCAAAGCCATTCAGTCTATAGCATTCTTTTTACCAAGACACTCTTGTTTAAACAGTTCACGTCTGTGACAGCCTCAGGTGACATGGGGTCATAGGCAGAGAGGGAAATATGGGATCTCATTTTAGAGCTGGACAGAAACCTGAGGGGCCATCAAATTTGTGTCCGTCATTTAAAGCTGAGTGTGGGCTGGCATGCGGGTGGCTACTTCAAATTAGACACCTCTGTTTCTCCTGCAGGATTTCCCTGCAGGTCTTGTCTGCAGCGACTTGAGCGCCTTGCACCTGCCCTGTGTGGGTAAGGAGCTCCTCTGCCGAAGAAACGGATGGTTTGAGCAAAGACATCGGCTTATACTGGGATATTTTGAAAAAGAAAACCCCGAAGTGTGTACATGTGCTACAGATACACAAAGAAAAACTCTTAACTTATGTCCTATACCATAATCTATGATTTGCTCTTGTGGTAATACCGTCTATTTTTCTCTTCTGTGATTTCTTTTTGTCTTTCCTAAATTTCTGAAAATCATACATAATGCCTTTGTAACTATAAGAAGCAACAATAAAAAGCAACTGCAGTGACTTTTAAAGATCTCCCCACCCCCCTCCACCCAATCAGGGTTTTTCTACTTTGATCGAAACAGCAAAATCTCATACGTTGTCAGAAAACAGTAGGAACACTGGGGAAGACAGGAAAGGAAAGCAAAGGAACTGGGGGTGGAGAGTGGTCAAGTAGCTTTAAGGCAGGTGCTACTTTGTGACAAAATGTCCTGCTCTTTATCTTTGGTATAGTTAATCTTTGAGAAGCAGCTACCCTCTAAGATATCTTGTCTAGAAACCTAGCTTTCTATCACATTGGGTCAGTCTTAGCCACTAAAGGTTGATTTGTTTTTCCCACAATGAGAGAGAGAGAGAGAGAGAGAGAGAGAGAGAGAGAGAGGAGAGAGAGAGAGAGAGGAGAGAGAGAGAGAGAGAGGAGGAGAGAGAGAGAGAGAGAGAGAGAGAGAGAGAGAGAGAGAGAGAGGAGTGTGTGTGTGTGTGTGTGTGTGTGTGTGTGTGTGTGTGTGTGTGCATTCACACCTGCGATGGAACTTGAATTCATAGCCTTGAGCTTTCACTTGGCTTTTATTTTTTTTCCTCAAGGCTGGCATTCTACCACTAAAGCCACACCCCCCACTTCCAACTTTTTGCTGGTTAGAGATAAAGAGTCTCAGGGACTCTTCTTCCCGGGTTAACTTTGAAACTTGATCCTCAGATCTCAGCCTCCTGAGTACCTAGGATAACGAGGTGCTGGTGAGCACCAAGTTACAATGAAATAAACCCTCAGGAGAAAAGCAAACGACACTGTCCTTAGCCTCATTTGGAATCAAGAAAGGGCTGATTAAAACTATGATGAAGTACTATTGCGTACAGACCTGAGTAGTAAAAAATGCACTGAAGTGGACCGAGATGGGGCCCCAGCTGGTATGATTCCATTTTGAGCTTTGCCTTTGTTTTAGGGATTTTAGACTTGATGGGCCTAGTTCCTGGAATTAAAAACATGCATCTGGTCCCCTTCCCCTTAGCAACCTAACCCATCCTTGATTGCTGAGTTAAAGATTGACCCGTAAAACAGGTTGTAATCTGGCTCCAACTGGCAACTCCACGGGCTTATGGTAAACTCCACCTTTCACCCACCAAAAGGTAGACCTTGCCTTACCCACTAAACGTGCGTGCCATTTTAAAGGTGATAGGCTGGTTTAAACAGATAAACTGTAACCTCATTGGCCACCTGTGTGTGGTCGGGTATGACTGTATAATCCTTTGTGTGTGTTATGATCCCATTGGTCACCTGCACGTGACCAGGCTGGAACTCATGGATTTTGTTTTGTTTTTTATTTTGCTCATGGGGCTTGAACTCTGGGCCTGGGTTCTGTCCTTGAGCTCTTTTGTTCAAGACTAGTGCTCTACCACTTTGAGTTACAGCTCCACTTCCTGTTTTTGAGTGGTTAATTGGAGATAAGAGTCTTATGGGGATTTTCTGCCCAGCTTGGCTTTGAACCTCGATCTTCAGATCTCAGCCTCTTGAGTAGCTAGGCTCACAGGTGTGAGCCACCAGCACCCGGCATACACTGCTATTTGTAGGGGAGATTGGACAAGAGTCTTAGAAGAGTGTATGATAACTTCTGGACAGGAAAAAGTAGTTACTGTTTAAGGATACAGGTCCAAGCCAGGGCAGGTGCACCGGGACACATACAGGAGGATGGGGGGGAGGGGGCGTGGTATCATTTGGAATGGCCCCAAATGGGAACAAACTGAAATGCTGGTGTGTTGGGCGGCGGGCAGTGGAGTGGATAAATGGTGGTGTAGAATCTAAGGGGATATGCAACAGCAAAAATGAGCAAATCCCAACCGTCCTCGATACGGATGGATGCTGAGAGAAAGAGCGCGACAAATCGAGAACAGCCAAGGCACAGTGCCAGCTGTATGAAGTTCAAAAGCCAGGGAAACTCAAACCATGTTGCCACCCTGGGGTTTGTGAACAGAAACCCAGATTTCTATAAAGAAACCAATGGAGTAGGAAGGGACGTGGTCACTTCTAAGGCTGTGAAGGGGGAAGGTTTCTCCAGCCCGGCCCAGTCTAGTTCCAGAACAAGGCTTTGGGCTTTATTGGTTATTCTTCAAGTGTACAGATACACTGTCTGTTTGGAGGCCATATTTCATAAAGGAAAACTCCCCCCATGCCCCCCCCCTCCCCACCAACAAGTGGATTCCTTTCTAAACCTATCAACATGGTGCCGAAGGGAAAAAAAACCTATCAACATGGGCATGGAAGAAAATGGGTGTCTAAATGCGAGCCTGGGGCCAGGCCGGTGTACAAACCTTGGAAAACAAGGTCTAAATTTTAGTCTTGTTGATAAGATACGCATTTTTGTAGTGTTCTTTCACACCAGGAGGCTGCAGCAAAGGGAAGGGCTGTCACTGGGAAGTGGTGTGGGATTGATGGGATTGCTTTTTTTTGGTGGTACTCAAGATTTGAAACTGCTCTGAGAGGAAACCTAAAAAGAGCACCTTGCTTAAGGGAACTTCCTATCTTTTCTGTCTGAGCATTCAGAAGTCCTGGGGGCGGGGAGGGCACAGAGGTCAAGGCAGAGGTAATAACAAGGAAGCATTTCAGCTATCTGTAAAGGAGACGATGATGATGATGATGATTTCTGTTTCTAGAGCCTATGAGGAGAATGAGTTTTGGTCTTACAATCCATTAGCTCTTAAGATCTGCTTTCAGCAGAATTTACAGCCTCCCCAGAGCTTTTCCTGGGCCCTGGGCAGGAGGAAGGACATTCTTGCATTTCTAATGTGATCCCATTTGGGAAGAAGCCTGGCTGGGGGTGGATGTTTTCAGCCCTCCATGTGGTCTCACGGATGACCTTGGCCCAGGCATGAGAGGGCATTTATTTAGAAGCCAGCAGCCAGGTGTGCGCGCGCAGACACGGGTAGGGGCAGTGACACCCAGAAATCACTCTGCGTTAACTCCCGACTCCTTTCTTGCTCATGTCATTCCTGTTTCACATAGGCGCCAATACAGCCTGCCGGGCGATTGATCTCGGCAGCTCTGAGTGCCAGGCCCTGTGTGATTTGTTCAGCCGCCCTCCTGTCTTCTGCTTCCCTAATCTCAGACACTGCGTCCACGGTGGGACACGGACACACTGGAGTGATGCTGAGCGCTCCGTGGTGCTGCCATCTGCCCTGTTTCATGCCTGGGTCACAAAGCTGATGCTCCAAGAGAGAGGTCTTACCACCTGCCCTGGGCCATGCGCTGGGGAATGGGAGGTCTGGGGTTGCAGACCCTGCTTTTGTGGTCTGCCAAGCCCTTGACATCGGTGCTAACCCCCCACCCAGCTCCAAAGATCTAGATCCCTCTCCGTTCCAAGCCAGCTTTGGTTGGGTGATGCCCTCTTGCAGCAAAATGGACGTGTCGCCTGTGTTATCACCTCCAGGATGGGCAAGCCTGAGTTTCACTCACTCACTCACTCACTGCGCCCCCATCCCTGGCCGAGACGACCACAAAAGTCCGTGTGGAGGTGGGCCTTGAGCAGCGAGTTGGCCCGTGCCTGCCCACGCTGGGTAAGCGCGCGGATGTGATCTAGGATCTCACACATGCGCAGTAAGGGCTCTACCACTGAGTGCCACACCCCCAGCTCTTACTCACGACTGAGGGTTGGTAGGTTTTGATACTGTGGCAAGTGACAAAACATTAAGGCCTGACACGCCTCCCCCCCTCCCCCCCGGCCCTGAAGCCTGGGTTTCTTCTTCATAGTGGGGCTAATAATTTCCACCCGCCTGCCCATGGCGGTTGGCTCCAGTCATCATCACCCTCTCCTCCTCTTCTTCCCCTCACCCCTTACTGGAAGCTGGGGGTGAAGGACCCTGAGAAGTGATTCACTGATTTGCTTATCATGCATGCACTTTATAATCCGCACTGGGATTGCTTGGGGTTCCTCTCACAAAAGACAAACCTGCCACGCGCCTGACCATGACAGGTCAGGTGACCGCAGCTCCTTCTCCTTCCTGACTCACCCTGGGTTGGGTGTCTGGGGAACAGGTGTCATGAACTATTCAGGCCTTGTCTAAACTCCTGCCAGTCACGCTGCTTACATCATTAAAATGTTAAAAACCGGTGGCTCGTGCTACACAGGAAATAGTTAGCTGAAAACATGCTATTTTTGTTTTTCAGGTTTTCTTTTCTTTTGAACTGGTATGCGTTATTACTTGTGCAAGGGGAAGGATTTCATAGTGACAGTTCCACACATTGTACAAATGTATCACAACCAATCTCGCCTCCTCATGCCTTCCCTTGCCCCGCCCCCTTCTTAATTCTGACAGCTTTCATTTCTCTATTTTCCTCTATACGAGCTACTTGCACCAGAGTCACCCTGGTTCACCTTTCCTCGTTAGACAGACCTCATCCTGAAAGTAACACCCCTCCACCCCAGAGACGCTTTTAGTTTCCTGTCTGAAAACGTGCTATTTTGCAGTCGGCTGTGGAGGTATGTGTGGGCGCACTCAAGCCAGGCTTCCCTGGGAGGGGTGGGAGGGACAATGGAAGGGAGAGGCGTGGAGATGAAGGGCGGAAGGAGGGGAAAGGTGGGCAGCAGGAGAGGTGGGTGGGGAAGAGGGGGGAGACTGCCTGCCTGGGTAAATATTCTTCCCTCACTTTGGCTGGAACAGGCCTGCATGTGCACGTGGATTTTACTCACCCATTTATTCCTTGGCCCATTGAGAACCAGCTGCTCTATGGCCATGGCCAACTCCTGCCCAGCCAACCAAACCCTATCGATTTTTGCCTCACCCTATGCTTTACCTTTTTCCGTACTCACGACCTCTCTCATGCCCCCTCCTGGCCCAATCTGGTCATCCTGGAGCACAGCCACTGTGAACCTGTCTGGATCCGGAAATCCTCTCCTCCCCAAATCCTGCTGGTGCTCAAATGCCCGGCTTTGGCCATTTGCCTCTGAGATTCTCAGGGCCAGGAAATTCCAACCACGATCTGGGCAGTGGAGGAGGGGGCGGGCCTCCGCCGGCAGAGGTTTTCTGTCAAGGCCAAATCTTGGTCCCATTCAATGACAAGCCAGAGTCCACGGCCCTGGAAGGAGTGTTTCTCTAATTAACTTAAGTCATGTACCTGCCTGTGTGACTGGCGGCCCCTGGGGACTCTGGTTGGAGATGAGACAGCCCATCACTCGGGGGGCGGGGGGGGAAAGACACCTCAAACATTTGCTGTGTTAATTGGTCACTGGCCTACGAAGCAGCGGGAGGCAGCAGCCTTTCTTTGCTATCTCCAGGAATGACTGTGGCTCCAGGGGCTGTCCTGTGGTTTTGAACTCCCAGCTTGCCGGCTAGGCCTGGGTGTGTGGTTCGAGACTGAGGCATCTTTGCCAAGGAGGAGCATTAGGATCTAATCAGCCCCCTTTGGGCTCTGCCCATCTCCCTGTAGTTACACACTTGCTTGTGTTCTGAGGCGTTAGACTCAGAAGGTGCAGGAAAATAGACAAAGAAATAGCTCAATGCTGGCGCAGGTTTATTCAGGGCAGTTAAGCCCACGGACAGGTCTCAAGCTAAAACCTAGAGCCCTATGCTGCTTAGAGACAGTAGGGCTTGATAGGGAAAGGAAAGTGGGGACTAGGGGTTGCTATGGGGGTATCTAAGGATCAGCTTGTGGATGACTTGGGGCACTGGATGTCACTTATGGTCAGGCTAGGTATTAGGCTAAGTGATGGCCAAAGAGGTTGGTGAGGTGGGGAAGTGTGTGTGTGTGTGTGTGTGTGCGCGCGTGCGCGTGTGCGTGAGTGCTTTGAGCTGATGCCAGGCAAAATCCAGAGCAGGTGTCTCCAGATGGACGCATCAGGGTTTAATCAGACCTGACGTGAGGAAGCTGCCATCTTTGTTCCCCCCCTTTGACTCTTCTCCTCTTAAGTTTGCACTTTCGAGTCTCACATTTTCTATCATAATTTCCAACTGATTACTCATTAGGCTTGTTTGGAAGCAAACTCTACGGGGGAAGGAAGCTGCTGTTGACAGAATGATGGCAGAGAAAGGTTGAGGGTTTGTGGGGGTCCAGCATTGCTCCCTCAGCCTCCTGTTGGCATCTGGGTCTGGGGGTGTTATTGCAACCCATCCCAGCTCCCCTGTTTCAGGGGAGACAGGTGCAATGACCCAAGCATCAACGCTCCATCCACACAGCTCAGGGCCTGGGCCACAGGGTGGAAGAGGGTGGAAGAGTCACACCCAGAGTGACATTGAGTAGTATGGCCTATCTGAGCCAGCACAGGGGAGACCGTGAGGTGAGCCCCTAAGAAAAGCTCAGTGCGTCCTCAGTTTCCCCTCGTTTCAAGTAGGCATAATAAATAGTCCTTATTCTATGGGATGAGATGAGGGAGAGGACATAAAGTGCCCGGTACTGAGCCTGGCACATAACAGGGGCTTCTGTTAACCTGCTTTCCATTCCCATCGAGTCTCTGGTCTCTTAAAAATGGGGAGAGGGCCAGGTGTCCGTGGCTCACACCTCTAATCCTAGCTGCTCAGGAGGCTGAGATCTAAGGATCACAGTTCAAAGCCAGCATGAGGAGGAAACTCCGTGAGACTCTGATCTCCAATAAACCACTCAGAAAACCGGAAGTGGTGCTGTGGCTCAAGTGGTAGAGTGCTTGCCTTGAGCTGAAGAGCTGAGGGATGCCGCCCAAGCCCAGAGTTCAAGCCTCATGACCGACAAAAAAAAAAAAAAAAAAAAAAAGGGAGAGGCTTAAAATCACAAAAATATGCTACAGGTTTTTTGGGGGGTGGGGATGTTGGTATTAGGGTTTGAACTCAAGACCTGGCCACTGTCCTTTAGCTTTTTCATTCAGAATTGGAGCTCTAACAATTGAGCCATAGCTCTACTTTTATTTGCTGGTTAATTGCTGGTTAATTGGTTAATGGCGCCCACACTGGCTTTGAACCTTAGCCTACAGATCACTATCTCCTGAGTAGCTAGGATTACAGGTTGTGAGCTACCAGTGCCCAGTGCACATTTGGATGGTTACAATCAGAGCCAGACAAGTACCTGCGGGTCAGATCCATAGCCTTCTCCATGCACATAGCCGACTGTGTTCTTGTCTCTCAGAATTAGTGTGTGGGCTTCAGCTGGGCATTTTGCACAGGAGGCAATCCACGCTGCCCAGCAGTGAACTTCCTTTGCCTTTCTAGGAGGTCTTCCCCAAAGCCACTATTATTTTCCCTGAGAGTGACCAGACTTCTTAAATTGTGCCCTGCTCCTTTAAGATCGCTAGAGGAGTCATCCTGGAGATGGGTTTGACATGTGAACAAGACTTGGAGAGGGGGAAAGGCAGGAGTGCAGAGAGAGAAAAAAATCCTGAGAACTATGGTGTGTGCTTCCCTGGGCTGCCGAAGCCTGCTACCCTTCGGGCTTGTCATTAGCAGGGATTTTTTTTTTCTCTTTGCAATGTGCTCAATGGGGTGGGCACACCATACAGTCACATGACCCACTGTGTGAATATGATTCATCTCATTACAATGATCAGACATGGAAATGCTTGATGTCTGGGGAATCCCTAGCTTTTCCCTACTTTCTCTCTCTCTCTCTTTCTCTCTCTCTCTCTCTCTCTGTGTATAAAATGGGGCTTAAATTCGGCCAGGGTTTCATGCTCTCCCTTGGCTTTTTTGCTCCAGGCCAGCACTCTACCACTTGAGCCCTGGCTCTACTTCCAGCTTTTTGGTGATTAATTGGAGATAAGAATCTCATGGACTTTTCCTGCCTGGGCTGGCTTCGAACTGCAATCCTCCAATCTCAGGCTCCTAGCTACCTAGGATGACAGGTGTGAGCCACCCACCAGTGCCTGGCTCCCCTGTTTCCTTTTAGGGGAGTGACTGTGGTTAGGGACATGTTCTCTGACAAGACACAAGAGCTGGGCCTGGCAGAGGACGAAGACAGGAACAACCCTTAGGAAGTTGCATTAAGTGTTTCTTTTTGCTGCTGGCCTGGAGAGTCACATCTTACCCATTTTTTTTCCAGGTTCAGGCAAAGTCTGAATCCCCTGAAAAGTCCCTTTTAAAGAGGACAGGCATGATCCAGTTTCTTTTTAATATTTGGAACAATGACTTGGATGATTCAGGGGTTCCTGTGCTTTTTTTAGGTCTTGAGTGCCAGGCTTTCTCTTGGTCCAATTCTCTGTCTCTAGATTGTTTTTCCCCCCAGCCAAGAATAGATGGATATCACCTTTTCAAAATCTTTGCCCCTTGGAGCATAGTGTTTGTGTGTGTGTATGTGTGTGTGTTTGAAACTAAAGGCATTGATACTGTCCCTAAGCATTTGTGCTGAAGGTTAGCCTTCTACCATTTGAGCCACAGCTCCACTTTGAGTCTCAAGGGCTTTTCTCCCTAGTACGAGTTTAAACTGCGCTCTTCAGATCCCAGCCTCCTGCGGCTTATAGGTGTGAGCCACCGGTTGCTAGGCCCCTTTTTCTCTCTTTCACATCAGATCATACCTAACATCTTTAAAGTAAATTAGACCAGAGTTACAAAATCACTCCTAGAGGTGCTGGTCAACAAAGACCACTCCAGAGCTCTTAGCATGATGCTACCATATTTCTTTTCAAATTCCATTATTGTGCCCAAATCTGTCCATTTGATTGGCTGTTTAAGATGGCCAGTTGCCACTACATTAGACCTTCCATATCCCTGTCCTATTTATCTCCCACTACTTGTCAATATTATTATTTTTCTCACTTCCTATATAGTTGGGGAGATTTATTCCCCATACCGGAGAGTAGCTATATGATTTCGAAATGTACGTGGAACTTCTGCTTCTAGATTTTAGATTCCTTGCATTTTCCCTTGCCAATTCTAGCTTCCATTCTATTTTAACTATGACTAGGCCAATTAAAATCTCATTTCAGAGTTCAGTTTTGGTGTTCTTTTTGGAATACCGGGGTGCGAGCTCAGGTCTCTACCTCTTGAGCCATACCACCAGCTCCTTTAGTTATACACTTTTCAGACAGGAGCTCATGTTTGTCTAGGGTTGGCCTCAGACCATCATCTCACATCTGTCTCCCACACGGCTGAGGTTACAGGTGTGTCTAAAATGTGCTTCTGTTTTTTGTAATAATTTTTCTCCAAAGCTCATCCTTCTGCTGGCTCGAGTGAGATGCTCACTGCTATCTGTGTTGTGGACACTGACTTTCATTGACTTCCTGTTCGAACAGGTTTGCTCAGCCCTCTCCTCTGCAGCCCCGAAAGACTCTCCAGACTATGGAACAAGAATCAGTCCCTGCTGCAAAACATTACTACAGAAGAGGACCTTTAACTTCCCTGTAACCAGCCTGTAACTGGCCTGAACAGTTGAGACACGTCTTACTCATGGGTGGAAAGGAAAACAAACAACTCATGTCTACATAAATAGTATGATGACATGTATCTGACTATTTTTACCTACACTCCTCTCCAATGTCCACTTTTGAGGTATTTTTCCTCCAGTGGCCCTGCAAGAGACCTCTTTTTTGGTCTTCCTTCCCTGACCATCACCCACTATCAGGAAAGGCTTTGCCAACAGGCCCCTTACATCCTTAGGTATTTCTAAACTAGGGAGACTGTAAGGACCCATAGAGAGCTGGGTGGAGCTAGGGGATTCACCTCGATTAGAAGATCTGTAAATTCCTAGAATAAAGACTTGGATGAGTCACACGACACACATGGTGTTTGTGTGTGTATAAGAGACAAAGTGTGTGTGTGTGTGTGTGTGTATGTGTGTGTGTGTTGGAACTCCAGAATGAGCAAGAGAGGCAAGGCCCAAATACACCAGCACTTTCTGGATTGCTGGGGACAGGGCCTTCAGGCTCATCTTTGCCGATGGAATGGACAAAGGTAGACTGGGCAGCAGAAACTACAAGTCTCTAAGGAAGACAAAGGGAGATGGCTAGAAGGTCCCTGGAGGAGCTCTTCTTTCCAGCTACAAAGAGACGTACACATCTCAGATGCTCCTGCTAATAAGAAGTTGACAGAATTCACTGCATCTGGCTATTTTAATTACCTGAAAACGCACTGATTTTGCCCCTTTCATTCACAGAAGGCTTTTGAAAGTCATTTCCACTCCAATTACCTCCATTAGTGAGCCATCAGGATGCATCAAAGCAGAAGTGAGTGCCAGAAGGAAAAGCAGAGGGAAGGACTCTTAGGAGGAGAGGCCAAGACCAGCAGTGTGGGGAAGCCCAGCTCCTCTTCCCTCACAGCCTCTGTGTCCTGGACTCTGGTCCCCCATGGCATGTCCCATAGGGCTGGGTACACGTTTACCCATTTCAAAGAGCCACGAGTGGGTCTGAGGGTCCAGGATGCTGCCGAGGGGTGGGGTCTCCTCTGTTCTCCTGAGGGAGCATTCACCTGTACAGATGCATTGTCCAGCCATTTGCTGTGGTGAATGGGGGGGTGGGAAGGCTGACCCACATGCATATTGCAGATGGCCAGAGTCCTTCCCTCGCTCCCTCAGCACTGTATAGGTGCCTTCCTTCCCTCCTGTTTTATTTCAGCTATTGGACACAGAGGTAATTGCTCCTCCCTCTCTCTGGAGATATAAAGATAGCCCCAAACTGGACCATGACTACCCTATGCGCAGAAGCAGACAGGGAGGCTAGCAACTCATGCCAGCCATGGGGGTGGGGGGCAAGGGCATGGGAGGCCGAGAACCAGGAGCAGGCTTCTGGCCACCTCCTGCCCTCACCGTTCCCGATCCCCGCTGGCTCCTCCCATTCTTCAGGTCACCACGCAAGAGAAGACCCAAAAGGCATCCACGGCTGGAGGAGGGCGAGGGAGACGCTTCCTGGGGCCCGCGAGGAAGCAGCAAACCCTTACACGGGCCGGCGGGCACCCAGAGTCAAACGCGTGAGAGTTGCGGCTCATCTGAGAGCTGCTGAGTTTGTCACACAGATAATTAGATAAACTGCTTGAGCACCGATTCGATGTGCCGCGTCGGTGAGTGGCTGCTACACGGGGGGGCCTCGATCTTAATTGAAGGCGCAATGGGGGAGAAGCATAGGGAAGTCCCAAGTCAACATCTTCTAACTACAGTAATTGAGCGTTCAACTCCAAGTGATGGGGGTCGTGAGGTCTGCTCCAAGGAGCCTGCGCCATGGCCCTGGGCTCTCCATGTCAGGGCCTTCCCGAGTAGCCTCCTGAAGGGACACTAGTGGGACAGAAGGCTCCAGGTCATTTCCTTCCCTGCTCCCTGGCCCTCCCACCCGAGAGCACAGCAGGGCCCCCCCCCCCCCCCCCCCCCCCCCCCCCCCCCCGGGCAGGAGCCTCCTTAGAAATCCATTTGCTCCTTTGCTGGCTGGAGTTACCCCGAGGGCCTCTACTCTGTTACCTGGGTTCCTTAAGGAAGCTGCAAACATTCTATTTAACACATAACTACTACGTTTGTCTATTCATCTAAAAAACGAGTGTAACACCGCCAATGAGGTAGGGAAGGAAAGATCAGAGCAGATGTCCCAACTCGTAAGGATCCCCGGTACGGAAGGGGGCTGGGCAAGCTTAGGAAGAAGTTATGACAGAAGATGGATTCCTGCCAAGCTGCGAGAGCAAAATGCCGCATGTGTGCTCCATCTAAAATACACTGGGACCTAATAACGTCGACGGGTCTCTGGGCATTCGCACACAGTGAGAGTGAAGGAGGGTACTCTTAGGGGAAGCACACAAAGGCAGAAGGCCTGTGTACCTCTGGTCATATAAAATAATATTCATCGAAATGAACTCCAGGAATTGGAAATGAGAGTTTTCTTTTTCTTTTTGGCTGTTTTTCTTTTCTTTTTACTCTGTTTGTTTACCTGTCACTGGGAGGGTACAGAAATGGCAGGATAAAGGGTGAACAATGTAGCAGTGGCACTCATTAGGAACTATGTTGAAAATGAACTAGACAACTTGTAGGTGGGGATGGGAGGGAACAACTGGGAGGGAGTGAGGGAAGGAGTGACAGAGTCTAAAAAGAAATGTGCTTATTACCTGGCTTATTTAACTGTAACCTCTCTGTACAGCACCTTTATAACAACAATTGATCTTTTTTAAACAAAGGATCCTGCTCCTGGGACAAAAGTTCTCTGCATCTTAGTTACTGTGAGGCCCGTCACCGAGGTATCCTTTGCTCCTTAAATAAAGGGTGATCTTAGACATGCATGGCCAGGGTCCTGGACAGGCCACTTTTCCCACTCCATGGGGAAGACGGGGTTCTTCAAGGGCATTCCTTGGCGGGAATGGTGGAGGTAATTAGAAGGGCAATATTGCTGAGTGGCAAGAAGCTTGGGTTTCCAATGGCTGACGAGGCTCTACATGGACAATCTTGCCCATCATCCAGCTGACTTTCCCAATTTCTCTTTTCACTCCACCTGATCTCCTTGGGCATCCCTAGACTTGGCCATAAACTATCATCTCCGGGTCTTTGCTCCTTCTGTTCTTTCTGCCCAGGAAGCAATAGCCTAACTTCCTCTCTTTTCAACCTCCTTCAAGTCTTTGCAAAATGTCACATGCCTTATTAAGAGTTCTCCTTCACAGCCTTCCCTGCTATATTCCTGCTTTACCACCCAACAGAGCTGACCTCTTATCTACTGCCTGGATCACTCTCAAGATTGTCCCTGTGGTGAGGGGCCACCCCTGTTTGTGTTGTTCCCACTGTATTCCAGTGCCCTGAGAAATCCCTGGCTCAGGAGGCATACTGTGGCTGAATTTCAAGCAGGAGAGCACCATGGCACAAGTCACGCCTGAGCGAGCCTCCTCTTGTAGTATGTTGAAGAAGAGAACGCTTTGGAGAAGTGTGGTGAGAAAAGGAGGTGCAAATGTGAGGGGACCCGTGGAGGTGTTGCTCATGAGGTAGTTTGGGGGTTGAAGCATGGTTGTGATGGTCAGAAGAGGTGAGAAGGGATGATGAAAGACAGGAGAGCAAGGAAGATCTCGGGGGACCCACATGCCAGATGCTGCTGGAGCACCACCTGCCTGCAGAGAGGCAGCGGGTAAGGAGTGGGCCCTGGAATCAAAGGAAGGCTGGGTGACACCTGTGGTTGCAGAAGGGCCTCAGGAAGTGCAGGCCTGGGAAGTGTTGTCTGGACTGCCTGGCATTTTACATGGTCAGGTGACGTTAACTAACTCCATGCCAGTGGCGGGAAAGAAAGGGGAGAGAGGAATGCTGGGACTGAAGATGGCTTTTGTTGGTGTTGAGCATGGGACTTGAACTCAGGGCCTGGTTACTGTCCCTGAGCTCCACTTCTGGTTTGTTTGTTTGTTTGTGATTCATTGGAGATAAGAGTCTCCTGCCTGGGCTGGCTGGGAACCACGATCCTCAGAGCTCAACCTCCTGAGTAGCTAGGACTACAGGCGTGAGCCACCAGTGCTGACTGAAGCTGGCTTCTTTAGCCTTTAAGAGGGGAGAGACTGAGGATGTCAGGCCGCAGGACTGGGGAGCTTAGAGAGAGGAGGGGGGTGGAGACAAAGGGAAAGGGTTGCTAAACATCAGGAAACAATGTGGGGAGGATTGGAGGCCGGAGCTTGCTTCTATAAGTGAAATCAATGCAGCGCGAGGCTTTCTCAGCTCGATAACTTATTAACAATTTTTAATTACTGGGATGTAATTAATTCATTGGAAAGGCAGCAGTTCTGTGAAGCACACCACACGGCTGAGCTGATAACGTTTCTTGCACATACTCACAGGGCGCCTATGCTGAGCGTGTCTTGCAGAAAACAGAGAGGAAATATTCAAAGAATACACATGCTTGTTTTAAAGTCATAAATTCTTGATCTTGGAAGCAGAGGGCACAGAGTGGGCAAGAGCTACTGGGTAGGCTGGGATGGAGGCTCAGAGCTGTAAGATAGCTCAGTTTGGTCAAACCCCAGTGGTCTGTGCTGATGTTAACCGGAGTCGTGGTACAAAAGGCCATTCCCATTTGTCCTTGAGGTCTAAGGGGTTTCTCTGGCTAAAGCAGCTGCTAAGTGATGACTTAGGAGGTTGGGGATGCTGGAGACTTGACTATCACCACCACGGGCCCAGTCAGACTGGGCACCTGATCATTCGGGTATCCTCAGGCCCTGGGAACAGGTTTGGCATGTGCTAGGCATTTAGTAGACATCTGAAGCTGGGAAGCTTCAAATCCTCCTCTGTGGAACTCAGAGTCAAGGCCCAGGCCAGCAGCTGCAATCTCTTTGCAGGGCCTGGAGAAACAATGATGGCCTCTGGGCCTGTGTGTGGGTTGATGAAGCTGTAGTGAAAAGGCGTCTGTAGGAAAGCCGGGCACAGGGGTCCACGCCTGGGATCCTAGCTATCCGGAGGCTGAGATCCGAGGACCATGATTTGAAGCCATCCTGGGCAGCAAAGTCCATGAGACTCTTGTCTCCAATTAACCGCCAAAAATACCCCCCAAAACTTGAAGTGGAGCTGTGGCTCAAAGTGATAAAGTGCTAGCCTTGAGCAGAAAAGTAGCCTGAGTTCAAGCCCCACAACAGCAGCAGCAGCAACACCAACACACACACACACACACACACACACACACACACACACACACACACACACACACACACACACACACACACACACACACACACACACACACACACACACACACCCTCCCTCCCTCCCTCCCTCCCTCCCTCCCTCCCTTCCTTCCTTCCTCCCTCCCTATGTACACACGGTCTCTGGAAGAACAGGAAAGGAATCT